AAACTCTGCTATATGCCCTGGTTGGTCAGGTGCTTTCAGGTTAGTAATAGACCAGGTTACATGATGGTAATGTTTTAACCCTGAAATGGCAGTGCTGTGAGGGAACCAACTCTTGTCTTCAGCTCATGATGTATTTCTAGCTTGGACAGGGGGGTAGGAGGTGGGGCGGTGGGGATACTGGGCTCCAGGTGCCACCTTGGGTCACAGCTGCAGTGCTAGGTCCAACCCTTCAGTGCCCCGACCCAGAAGTGATGCATCACACCCTCTTATAGCCCATTTGCCGCAGATAGCCACCCGTCACTGTGGCTGGGCGTGGAGGGGTTCCAGGATGGGGGACAGATGGAGTGTTGGATGAGCACCACTGTTCCTGCCGCCGCAACAGAATGGCACGATTTACCAAGAGTGACCACATCCGGCATCGTCCAGATTTTCCAGGGCCCCGGGTCAGGAGGCATGGCCCAAATAGTTAAACCATTCGAGTCATTTTCTAACCCAAAGAGTATCCGATAATCCATGCCCTGCCCCAGATCTGTCCCGCGCTGCGCCCAACCCAACCTGAGAAACCTTCTCCAATCGAACCATTACATCCACTTCCATCCTGGGATCAAGTCCACTCCCTCACTCACAGCCCGTCTCACGTCCAAGGCAGCGCCAGCGGTCGTACCTCTCTCCTGCATCTTCGATCGGCCCCTCCCTACTAGCCCACTCCTGTAGGCGTACAGACCATCTTTAAACAGATCTCTGTCTCCCCATTGACTCTGAGCAGCCCCCACACAGGTCTGCCGTTCCTCACCCTTTCCTTCCTGAACTCACTCCATCTGGCTGCCTGTCCGCGCCTGAGCGGGTCCCACCGACACCAGCAAAGACCTCAGGAGTCAGAGCTCCAATGGGCTCTGATACAGCCTCTCCCCTCCCGTGGCTGCTGCGGCTTCCAGAATGTCTCCTCCCTCCTGCCCCTTCTCAGGGTCCCCCCAGGCTCCCCAGCTCCAGGGCCCACTTGCTCCCTGAGCTGCTCTCCCTTCCAGGCGACTCCACGCCACAGCCCACACTGACCTCCCCCGAATTTGTGTCTCCGGACACAGCCTCCTTCCTGAGCTCCCACCCTATAAGGTCAGCTACCCACCCAGCATTTCCATCGGAACGTGCCTAGAAACCTCTCATTTTCCAGGGGTCCCCCAGCAAGCCGGCCCCTCCAGTCTCCCAGTTCAGACGCGGCCCCTGATTCTTAGGCATTCAGGCATCTCCCTGCTGCCTACACCCATTGCCCCCAGCTGGCTGCAGACACTAACCTAAATGGCTCCCCCACCCCACGGCCTCCACCCTCATCTCAGCCCCTGGCCAGATATCTATTCTTAGAATAGCAGAGTGAGTCCTTTAAGCAGCTCTCATCTTCCCTCATTTTTAAAAAGAAGAGGATTAGATGCTCCAACCAAAATTACCTAATGTGAGGAGTCTGTTTTCAGGGAAGACTTCTAAAATGTCCATCTTCCTTGGGGCTATCAGAGCTATTCCTATTTTTTTTTTTTTTTAATTTCCCATCAGTCCTTGTGTGTGTGTGTGTGTTAGTTGCTCAGTCATGCCCAAGTCTTTTTGAACCCCATGGACAGTAGCCCTCCAGGCTCCTCTGTCCCTGGGATTCTCCAGGCAAGAATACCGAAATGGGTGGCTATTTCCTTCTCCAGGGATCTTCCCAACCCAGGGACTGAACCCGAGTCTCCTGCATTGCAGGCAGACTCCGCCACCTGAGCCATCAGGGGAGCCCCCATCAGTCCTTGAAGCCCCCAAAGGCTAGTGCTCCCAGTGCATCCAACTCTCCCCTGTTCCTCACGCCAGTTCCCCCACTCTCTCCACAAGTGCAGACAAAATATTTTTGCTGGCACCAACTGTCCCAGAGCGTTCCTCAGCACTGGCACAAGAGAAAAGCCCTGCCCAGGTTCTGACGTCATCAGGCTCTGGCATGAAAGGAAAACAAGATGACCCTACTAGCGTGCTCCAGAGGAAGACAAACCTTCGAGTGGGCAGAAGCAAGCTGAGCCGTCCCTGTTACCACGGAAAGAACCATCCACCGTGAGATTTTTCTGTAACTGCTCTTAAAATGTTTGTTCAGTTTCTTTACCAATTACACTTCAACCCAGCCCCACCCTACCCAGAGGTTAACCTGCTCAGCCTCCGCTGCAGACCGAGGCCCCCCTCACTTAGCCTCCACCCCGGGCCCAGCAGGAGCCCCAGTTCCACCCTTTCATGGAGCAGGCCTTGTCCCTGCCTCTGGACGAACCATGAGTGATGAATAAAAAGGTTCCTCCAGTCTGGCTGGCCAGGGGAGCAGCCACACGCGTGCCCACCCACAGTCCCAGGGCAGGGTGGACACAAGCCCAGGATTCCGGGGAGCAAAGCAGGAAAGGGCGTTCCAACACGGGCAATGGCCAGGCGTCCTCACCCTGCCGACCCCTGCGGCTTCTAGGACTCACTGAGCTCTGGGCGGGAGGATGGCGGCTGCCCCCCCAGGCAGGGACCAGCCGAGAATTAACAATGGGGGCAGGACGGGGGAGACCCTCACAAGGATCCTGTGAGGTGGCTGTTATGGAGTTTTCAAACAAGGAAATGAAGGAGGGACAAGGGACCTGAAGACCCTTGGTCACTACGGGCAGGGCTGGGCCTCTACTTACACAATGGGGCCTCTTCTCCCATCACCAGGGAGGGGGCGCTGAATGCCAGCCAGGGAGCGGGGAAGCAGGGGGTGGGGGGGCNGCTGGACCTGAAGGTGGGCAGTGGCTCGGGCCGGGTCGCCAAAGCCAGTGGGACATCTATTTGTCCTCATCCCAGACCTCAGAATTTCCCACGATCCCCGTTTTTAACCTTTTGGTGATGTTGCTCTCAATGTGATTGTTCTGTGACTCAGCACTTTCAGATGAGCAAACACACCTGGAGGGGGACCCACTTCACGGATGGGGTGCACCCCTTGGGGTGGGGACACGTGGCCGTCGTGGGCGTGTCGCTGTTGGGGAGGGCCCCCCTGAAGGCACTGGGGCGCACGTGGGGTGGCTGACATGAGGAGACTCGGGAGGAAGCGGAGACACAGCTGCCGGCTGAGGCTGGAGGAGCCGGGGCGGCTCCGGGCGCGGAACCCCAGGCTTTGTCAGAATCCTGGCAGCCCTCGGAGCCGAGGACCCCCCAGGAGCAGACAAGGAGGACGGGGAACAAAAGCTGCTTCTCCTGCACGCCGTGCGGCTGAGCGTAGACCTGCAGTGGCCAGACCAAGGCTGCCGGGCGGGTCCCTTCCTGCCGTTTTCTTCCCGGCCCTAAAGACGAGTCCAGCGGCCCAAGAACGAAGGACTTGGCCCATGAAAGCAGCTGTTATTTCAAGGAGAGCAGGGAGCAAGCCAAGGGAAAAATGAAAAGATCCAGCGACAAAACGCCCATTCATGGGTTCACTCGGCAAACATTTACTGAGGCCATCTGTGCTCCAGGCCCGCCCCGAGTGCTGGGGGCACAAAGATGCCCTTGAGCGCGCGCCCCGCCCCCGGCTGCCCAGCCTGTCCGCCAGGCGCGCGGGGAGGGCGGCACCCCTCCACCCCCGAGGCTCAGCTTCCGGAGCGCGGCCGTGTGCAGCGCCTCGCGCCCGGATGAATGGACCTGCTCACAGTGCGGGGCGCAGGTGCATCCATGCTGCTGGATACCTGGTTACTCTCCCGGGCAGGAGATGAAGACCACCAAGGGGCCCAGGAAGGCGTGCAGCGCCCACCGGGAGAGATGAAGCTGTCCCCTGTAATCTGAGCGCTTTCTGAATCGATCCTGGAATAGCCTAAGAGTCTATGTGTCTATACAGGTATTTACAGACATGTCTGTATAGACTCAGAGAGCAGAAGGCCTTCCACGGCACCTTTTCCATTGCCTCTGCCCAGAACCAGATGGAAACAGTACCGGCCCCTTCCCTATTTGCCCCAAACTTGGTCACATCTCCACCAAAAAGGTCTCTATCTCAGTCCATAAAATGCAATAATTAAGTCCATTGATCCTAATGATGGTGCCTGGTTTATACAGAAGATGAGTTCCCAGTTTTTCACTTACCCATGCATATGTTTATCCTACAAATTATTGAGTGACGACTGTGTACCAGGCACCAGGGGAACAAAAGAAAATGAAGACAACGCACTTTTTAACGAAAGGAATGGAAAAGCAAATCACTACAGTGCAGCACAGTAATGGCTGGGCTAGAAGTAAAGTGAGTTGGGTGGTTTGCTCCAGCGCGGATGGAGCCCTCAGGAGGACTTCCTGGAAGAGGCAGCACCATGCAGGAGGATGAGGAGGCATCAGATTGACCAGGTGGGAGGCCTGGGCAGGGGTGGGGGAAAGTGCCGGTGATGAGGCGTTGGGGTCCGCCTGGAGAACACAGCTGGGGACACAGGCAGAGAAGGTTCAGAGGCTGGTAAACAGACAGGGAGAGAGACAGCTGACAAAGGGCAACCGTGCAGACGAAAGGGGAGGACTACAGTCCGCAGGCTTCTCCCGGCCGACCTGGTTCCATGAAAAACCCTCATCTGAACATCTGGGAACCCACTCAGAGTGGGGACTCTGCCTTAGAAATGGAGGAGATTCTGCCACAGGCTACAACATGAGGAACCTGAGGACACTGTGCTCAATGAGATAAGCCAGACACAAAAGCACAAATGCTAGATGATCCCACTGACAAGAGGACCCTCGGGGATGCGGAAAGTAGAAGGGTGAGGGCCAGGGCCCCGGGGGCGGAACGGGGCGTTAGTGTCTAATGGGCCAGAGTTTCAGATCTGCGAGATGAGGAGTCCTGGGCATGGATGGTGTGGTGGCTGCAAAACAGTGTGAATGGACGTGATGCCACAGACCTCATACTTCAGAATGGATAAAAGGGAAAGTGAATGTGTTTTACCATAATATTTTCTGGTTTTTTAGAAAAAGAAAGGTGACCTTAGCTTGGAAGGTCAACTACATTCATAATGTATTTAACCAGACCCCCGAAGAAGGCTCCCCTGGTGGCTCAGGCGGTAAAGCACCTGCCTGCAATGCAGGAGACCAGGTTCGAGCCCTGGGTGGGGGAGATCCCCTGGAGCAGGAAATGGCAACCCGCTCCAGTATTCTTGCCTGGAAGATCACATGGACAGAGGAGCCCGGCGGGCTACATCCCCTGGGGTCGCAAAGAGCTGGACACGACTGAGCGACCAACACAAACACTCATCACCCTAGGAAGCCTCCATGCACTCTGTCCAACCTGTGCTAGGTCCTCGAGACAGTCTGGGCCCTGGGACCTGCTGCAGCAGTGCTTGCACCTGGACAAGCATCTCTAGCAAGAAAATACAAAGCTACTGAAAGGCCAGGACTAGAGATAACTGCAGGCACACCCAGGCGAGCAGATTATGAACAACAAGATACAAAAAGGCCACTTCTGAGGTGCTGGGAGCAAAGGCAGGGCCCTGTACACGGCCCCTGCACAGTGTACCAGCAAGGGGTGCGCAGACCACCTAAGCACCCTCCAGTCTGCCCCCACGCTCGCCCCGTTTGAGGGGCCAGCCCGCCCTCCCCGGGGAGCTCCCAGGGCACCTGTTTCTTGCCTTGGCTGCCTCGTGCTGCCGAGCCCCAGTGAAGCTTTGCCTGGATTTCTCCTCTGGCCTCCTATCCACTTCTATTGAGCAGGAGTCCAAGGCCCCGGGCGGGGAACACCCTCCGAGAACTCAGAACAAATTCCGAATTGTTACTGGTGTTGCAAAGGTCCTGGTCTACAGGTCTCCTGTAAGCTTCCGGATCAGCTTTATTTCCAAGAGCCCCTCTGGGTCAGTCGCCCCCTTTCTGGACACTCCTCTCTGGAAGCTGCGGCTAAAAGCCCACCACAGCTTCCGGGCCCCAAAGAACCCCGTGCAGACCCTGCCCGCCACTTGCCCAGCCCGGCTCCACAGCAGGCCCACGAGGGAGGCGGCAGGACCTCTCCACCCGGCCGCAGAGGCTGAAGCTGAGCAGTCGTCTCCTTGCCCACAGGCCCTGGGAGCTGTGCTGAGGCGAGGAGCCAGCGTTTCAGGCATGCAGTCTGTGCATCACCCCCTTACACCCCCTAGCTCCTTGCACTTTCCTTCTAGTTGCAGCACGGAAGTGCAGACTCTGGGGCCCAGCTCTGACACCTGGGTTCTTCCCACCCACTTCAGCACCAGCCCCTGAACACTTTCGTGCTCTCAGCTAGCAGTGAGGATGCCAGTTACCCGGCGGGTTGCCCGCCTCAAGCAGGGAGCTGCTGCCGCGTCCTCATGTCCGCTCAGCCACGACCCGGGGAGGCGTCCACGCGCTTTCATTTCCCCGTTTAGGTCGTGGTTTGAGTCCAGACTGGGTGTTCTTCCCTCTCTGCTTGCTCACTTGGTCTGGGCGATCTGGACTCCCCTTGGAAGTGTCTTTAAGGCCTCGCTCCGTGTTCAGAGGACGTCCCCACCCGTCTGTGTCCCTGACTCATCGGCTTGGGCGTCTCCCGTACCCCAGCCCTTCCAGTCCAGCCACAGCAGCGAGCACTGCACCCCCGGCCTGGGGTTTGGGGGTGGGGGGGGCGGGCAGCGCTCCAGAGCCACCCAGACGCTGCGGTCCTGCAGGGTGGACCTGAGGCTGCGGGACCAGCGCCCGGCGGGCCGCCGCCCTCCTGCGCAGCGCCTTCAGCGGCTCCTCTTTCATCTCGAATCTGCGTGGCCCGGTGGGGCTCGGGGCAGAGGGAACAGGGCTCACCTGCCGGCCTCACGGGGCCCCGAGGGTTCTGGAAATGCTCATGGCTGCTGAAGGCCAGAGGTGCGGAGGCCGCAGCCAGCTGCACAGTTCGGTCACTGTCTTCTCCCGGCTAAAATGAAACCCACCAGGGGGCCACAGGCCCAACTACTCTCCCCCAGCACCCCGCCCCGCCACCCCTCTGCACACGCTTCCCCCACAGGCCTCTCCCTGGACCCTCGCGTCACCGCCGCCGGCTCCTGGAGGCACTCACCTCGTGGACACTGTGTCCACGGCCACAGACGCCCTTCCCGGGCGGGTGCGTGGGGGCCCAGAGAGAGTTCAGCCTCCCTGTCTGGGTGGCTGGTCTGGAGCAAAGAGGGCCTCACAGTGATCACGGAAAACAGGTTCACCTCTCTCTGCAATGACCCTGTAATTACTAAAGACACCAGTATTTAGGCTGAGGGTTTGCTTTTTCTTTTCAAGTGAAATCCCAGAATCAATCACTTGTCTCCCACACCAGGTACTCTGTAAACATTCAGAGAGAGAGAGGGGAAGAGATGGAGGGAGGGAGAGAAGGGTGGGGGAGATGGGTGGGGGAGATGGGAGGGTGACTCACCTTGACCGCACCCGTCCGCAAGCCGCCCAGACTCACCGTCACCCCGGCTTCTGCAGCCCTTAATTACTTGTCTGACCACACGCTCGATTTAGCAGAGAACCAAAAGGTTTGGAGGAGCCTAAGAACGGGCTAAACAAAACCAATGAGGGGAAGCAAATGACAAAGAAAACATCAAAAACCCCAGGAACAGGGCTTCAATAACCTGACCGCCTGGGCTGCCGCTCAGCTCCAGGAGGGCCGGGGTCCCACCCAATGCGTTCGCTTGTCTTTCTGGCCCTAGAACAGCGCCCGACACTGCAAACGTTTATGGGGTGAACACGGCGGCTTCTCATAACACTCTGAAGGATGACGTGGGGTGTGCTGGCTGGAAGATAACACTTCCAGGGGCCCCGAGGGACCCACCGAGGGGCCCAGCCTGCTGTCCTGAGAAGGCCCCCAGCCCCCCTTCTCTGCCCTCCTGGGGAAAGGCCAGGACCAGGGCTGTTTGGGAAACGAGCTCTGTTTTCTCACCCTCCCCCTCCGCTGTGACCGCCCTCTCTGGGTCCTTCTAATCATGAGGACAGCTGGGCCTGCCCCGCTGGGGCACACACCTGATTTCACTCAGTTTCCAGGATGAAGGCAGCGACTAGGACAAAGGATCAGGCCCCCTGCGGTCATTCCGGACCGTCTGATTCCCGACTGAGGGAATCACTGTCGTGCAGAGGTGGACACCACCTCGCTCCGCTTCAGATTTGTTGTTGGTTAGTCACTCAGTCGTGTCCGACTCTTTTCAACCCCATGGACTGTAGCCCGCCAGGCTCCTCTGTCCACGGGATTCCCCAGGCAAGGATACTGCAGTGGGTTGCCATGCCCTCCTCCAGCGGATCTTGCCCACCCAGGGATCGAACTCAAGTCTCCCATGGCTCCTGCTTGGCCGGCGAATTCTTTACCACTGAGCCATCAGGGAAGTCCTGCTCTTCAAATTACAGCGAGGTTTCTTCTTTTTCCATCTTAAAGTACCTTGACAACATTTTTAAACTTTACGAATAGTTTTTAAGGGTAGGTCATTTTCATAATGTTTAAAATTTATAATGTTTAAAACTTCATAATGTTTAAAATAATTTACTTGGATTACAGTAACAAAATAAAGCAGGTAATGCTGTGGGCAGCTGCATGTGCAGGGTCTCCTCCGTCTGGGGCTCAGCCTGGCTGGGTAAACAAGAGTCAGTACAGAGAACAATAGAAGTGGAGCCCAGCCAGCGGCCCGTTCATTGTCATGAGCCTGGTCAGGGAGAGGCCTGAGAGCCGCCAAGGCTCAGCTCTGGGGCCTGAAGACATTCCCGAATCTTGCAGAAGGTGGTGGCAAACAGTCCCCTGCTCTGGGGTGGGAGGAGGGCAGGGAGGTCACCGAGGTCAGAGCAGAGTCCTAGGATTCTAGAGGGGGGCTCTCGGCAGGGCTTCCCACCATGCGGATGCATGCTCTGAGGGGGCAGTGTTCCCTAGGCCTGGAGGGCGAGCCCAGCGGGGATGGGAGACAGTGAAGAGGCCCAGAGCCCACCCCCTGGGAGGAGGTGTCCAAGCGGACCCTGTGGGCATCCTCTGTCGTCCTCCCAAAAGACTGAGTTCTCAGACCAGCATCACCCGGGAGGTTTATCATTGCCGGAAGGATGAGGTCTCTGCGTTTAGTGATGACAGCTCCTAGAGCCCAGCACCCAGGCACATTTTGTTCCAGCAACCTTTGGGCCTATCTCTTCCCTAAGAGCTGTGGGTACCGGGTCCTCCTGGGTGTGAGCACGGCTGCGTGGAGAAGCCGCGGGTTTGGCTGCCTCGGTTTCTGTCCCGGGCTGGCACGCGTCACCCTCGGCTCCGGTGAGCGCAGCGGGCCAGCTGTCACGCGCCCCCAGGGGACAGCCTGGGGTTTTGTGAGCTGTCTCTGCTGCCATCCTGCACTCGGGGTGTCTCCCTCCTGCCCGGGGGTTCTCACTTCCTCTGCAGCTGCCGGCTTCTGGGTTTCTTCTCCTACTTACGCGCGTTGTGGATCAGCTGCTTTTCCAGAACCCTGTGTCTCGAGAGAGAGGTCGTCACTGGTCTCTGCTTTGTGCTGCCAGGTTTTTCTTTCGTTTCCCAGCAGAATTTTTTGGGCAAATGTCACACCCAACTGACCTCAGCCCTCAGCTTACGCTGAAAACAAAGGATTGAGCAATGGTTTGTCTGTGGAAACTGCATCTTCCTCCTCTTTAAAATACTCCTGCTGCAGGGCCTGGTCTCCCCTTCAGCTGCAAATGCAGTGATTCAAAGCTTCGATTTCCTTCTCTCTGTGAGCAAGGCGCCTCACACATCTTTCTAAGGGTTTCTACATGATTTTGTTAGTTCATGGAGCTCAGAGCGTTTCTAATTCCTCCATCACTGCTCCACGCTCCTCTTAAATCTTGTCATGTTCCTCATAAGCCTGATGGAGTTTAGACCTCATTTTTTCTTTACTAATTTAGTTTTATTACAGCTTCTTAAAATTTTTCTTTCTGCCTCTGTGAGTTTTTACAGAATTCCTTATAAAACACGTGACATTTCCATAGAGTTTGCCTTCCCAGTAGCTTGTCCTGTTTCTTTCCACGACATTTATCCTTCGTCATCAAAGTAAGAAGCGGATTTTCTACTGCAGTCTGGCTCATTTCTTCAAGCCCCTGACAATGTGTCTTGAAGCCCACTCACCTCCTCAGGCACACTCTTACTTTGCATCCTGACTTCTAATGTGGCCTTTGTTGCTTTGA